GCTTCAACTTTTAAAGCTATGATGGGTTGGGCATTCTGAATCAGAGGTCCAGAACAGAAACTAAAAGGAGTTTTGTGGTTGCCTATTCGTTGATAGAGCTCCCGCACCAGTTGCATCCAACTGAGGACGCTCTCCATGCCATGAATCACGGCGAGCTCACTTGTGGGAAACACCAGCTCACCCAGGGAACAGGAAAGGCCCTTTGCTGAAAGACATTCGGTCGAGTCGGCGTGCATCCTGTCGAAGCATATGTGTTCATGGGGGATGCTCGACCTCCCGCGAAGTAGCCACTGGCTTTCAGCGGTGGGGTCGCTTCATTGTGTTTGGCATGCGCGTGTTGTTGTGCGTTTTTGTTTGTGATTTGTGTTCATCTTGAAGGGCCGGGGGGGCCGCAAAGTCTGCTGTTGGCATCCACGCGCAAACACGCGCATCCCATAAGGCAGCTGTAGATGTGACGTCTCGGCCCTGTCCGGAATTTTGCTGGAGCACGTGTCCGGGAAAACGTGGCTCAATGCCAATGGCATTCGACAAGAGTGGCACGTAAGCACGGGGCAGTGAACAACCAAGCATTTGCTCTCGCTTTCCCGCAGCCACTGTTTCTTGGAGACGCCTCAGGTCTACTTTCTGAGGCCTTGCTTCCAACACACTGCCGCGCTGAGTATCGCTGCTGGCCCAGGAATGGATAAGGAGGGTTTGCTGGGTGCGAAGCAAAAGACTGGGGACATGCAGGAGGGTAGCGCTGAACAGTATCAGCGTCAGTCCGAACAACTTGATAGGACCCTTGGCACTTTCCTTGAGGTTCGTGCCCATTGGGATGATTGGGATGGACAAGAAGTTTTTCCTTCCCAGCCCCCGTGCCATTTTAAACCAGATCGATCATTTATAATTGGTGGTTTGGATTGGTGGTTTGGGGAGTTGAAGCCCTTGAGCCCTTGATTCCTGTGGAGGGTGCATGGGAAACCCCTGCTTATCCACCAAACCACCCACCAAGTTCATGGAAGCTGAATTGTTTGGGGTTTTTGGAGGTGATGTTCGGGTACTCGATTTGCCTGCCTCTTTTCGGATTTTGCTTGGAAGCCAGGAACCAAAGGAGACCCTTCCGAACGGAAATCCCCACTGGCAAGTTGAGAACTCCACTTCTCACTTTCGTCGGAACTTGATACTAGTTGAGTTGCACTTTTTTGGGGACCTCCACTCTGGAAGTGAGATTTGGGCGTGGCTCTTTTGGAAGTTGGTGCCCTTTGGCGGGTTTTGAAGAGACACCGCAAGGAGAACACCTGTAGGAGCCAAGCAATCCACCCTTTAAACAACTGTTGGGATTTGGGGTCCGGGAAGGAGGCACCCATCTGCCCTAAGGCTCCTGATAAATATTGGGGCTCCAAAGTTTAACTAGTTTTGAGACCCTGAAAGCAAGTGGGGTTGTGGTGTGGGGACCCCCAGGTTCTGCGTATTAAGCCTCAGAAGCTTTAGGGTGGCCTCCTTTCTTGTGACGCACGATGTTTTCCACCGATCGCCGATCGCTGAGGCCACCTTCTTGTCGCTGATACCTGCTGTGGTGGTGCTGCTCGTCGGAATCTGAGACGATGTCGGGATTTGGGAAGGCGACATGTCCAGAAGCCCAGGTGCCTTTGTGGGACCCGTCCCCTCCGTTTCCCTTTTTCGGAGCCTTCAAAAGTGGCGGTCAATTGATCAACTTTCGATTTGACATCCCGGTGACCCCTGATTTGTGGATCGAAGGCAATCCCTTACAGGCGGCCCTCGCTAAATGTTCCTCTTCATTTTTTCTATCCTGCGGTTCCCGTGATCTAAACGTAAGGTACATGGATACCTAGAGTCTCCCTGACCCTCAAAAAATGGGTCCACGACCCCTTAATTTTGGGTCATGACCCCATTTTGCAGGGTGAGTCATGTAGACTCTAGTCACTTCTGGCGCATCATCGGAGCATTTTCTCGCCCCCGGTCGGTTTCGGGTTTCGACGGACGGGATGGGCCGGCAGGTGCCCATCAAGAGCTTGGCCAAGCTCTTCCGCTTTGCGGCGGCCTGAGCTGCGGGCGGGGCTTCAGCTTCGGAGGGCTGCTGGCGGAGGGAAATGTCGGGTCCGAAGAGATGGCCAGGGACGGGTCGGTCCCAAAAAGGCCGGGCACTGCCCGAGCTCCGGTTTTCGGGTTTTCGGACTTGAGTCTTCTTTAGAAATAGTTTTTTGGGTTTGAAAGACCATTTTAGTGGTGAGCAAGTGTGGTTAGTTTTGGGGCCGATCCACTCAACAGCCGCGAGGCTGACTTGTTATGTCCGGAAGGCTTCCGTTTGCGCGGCTTTTGCGGCCTCACTTTGTGCCATGCGGTTGCTGACCAAGAGCTGATGTCAGAGGGTGTGATACAATGTGTGTTCCTTTTCTCTCAACAAGGGGCAAGACCCACAAGGTGTTTCATGGCTGGCCTTGTTTGTAGTAATTTTGTGCTGTCCGGTGAGCCCCTTTGGTCGCAACATCGGTACAGCTGGCAACGCATCGCCGTGAGCATTGTTGCTCAGGTGACGAGCATGTGGCTTGTGATCAGGGCTTTCGATTTGGTACTGCGGTGGATGCACGAAATATTTGCTGGCGAGCCAATCACGAAACCAGGGAACACGGTAATTAAATCTAAACCAGGTAATAAAACCAGGTAAGTAATTCACACTCATTCACACAAAACCAGGTAACACTGAACCAGGTGTTTTTTTGTTTTGTTGCCTGGCTTGTAACAAGGCGTCTCTGGCCCATCCTTTTCAGGGGCTCCCGGCTGAGCGCTGAGCGCTGAGGCCATGCCGAGGTGGCTTGAGTCCGAATCGGACAGGCAGGGTTCGGCAGGGCGCTCAATGAGCGCCGATTCGGTGGGCTCGCATCGGAGGTGGTTTTTGTTTGGGCCCCCCGAAATGGCTGTCTTTGGGGTTTGTTTCTGTTGGTTTCCCTAAGCCACCAAAAAAGGGGGTAGCCTCAAAAACAGAGCGACATAGACCGACCCAACTAAGTTCTGAAGTCGGATTCTATGAGCAAGCTCTCCACGCGCTGAACTTGTCATACCAACAGAAACAGGCGCTCTGAATCTTGCGCCCTCTCGTTGGGAAGCGTGCCACCATGTACAAAAATACCAGCTCCCTTCAACCACAGTACTTCGGATTTTGAACGCGGGACAAAGCAAATGGGGAGTGCTAGTAGTTGTCCTTCTCAGATTAGTTTGGTTGAAAGATGGGTTCCACAGGTTGCAGCTTGTTTCCAACAGGTGCCATCCATTGCCTCACTCAGGGATTCATGGACTTTAGTCACTTTTTGACTTTGGGCCATTTTAGCGGTAAATCAACAAACCGACTCTTCCTGGACTTCTTCCTTTTTTTGGGGGGGCGGGGTTAACACAACAAACAGGTTCCCTCGTTTGTAGGTTTTTGGGGGGCCAGTCCACTCTTTTGGAGGCCTCTTCATGGTGTTTCGGCTCGCTTCAGATCTCGATCGCCAGGCGGGGGTCTGAGCAGGACGACACCACGCAGGACTACTACCAGGCACCGGTCCTTCGCTGGGAGGGGTTCAAAAAACCCACTCAGGCACCTAAACGGTGGAGGGGGGGGGGGAGGGAGGGGGAGGGGGGAGGGCGGGGGGTTCAAACCCCACCTTTTTTTTTTTCTCCGGTGAAAACACATGCTTCTTCGCTGAAAACACATGGCTTGGCTTTTCTTTTTGCTACCTGGTGCGATAGGTAGCTTTCAATTTGCTGAAACATCTATCGCTACTGGACATATCTTCTCATGTCTTAATGGGGACACAAGCAAAAATGCAGGGTAGGGAATGAGAAATGGGATGACCGGCAAGAAAACCATCCAACTGATTTGGCTTCCTGTCAGGGAATCCCCAGGTTCATTCCCAACACCTGCTGGTCCAAAAAGGCTCACCCCTGAAAAATTAAACTCCTTCCGAATTCTGAACGAACATCTCACATCCCAAGCAATGCTACAGGGTGATTCCGCTCGCTTTGTCAACAAGTGCTCAGTGCACGTCCTTGATGCCATGCTCAGTTAAGAGCTGCACTGGTTGAAACAATGTGTGCATCAAAGAGCGGGAGAAAAACATGAGCATGATTTGAACCCAAGGATCCTCATGTTAGGGCCCCAGTTGGGCCCCCACGACCTTGAAAGCTTTTGTTGCAAGCAAGTTTCAGGCACGGCTCGGAGCGGAAAGGACCTCAAAACTTCATCATGATTCGCGGGCACGCCTGATTCAGCTTTTAGCTCAGGTGCGCCAACTTTATGGGGATTGGTTTGGGGTTTTGGGCCTCGCTTTGACATGCTTTTTGTGGGACGTTCAGGCGAAAACCTGCTTGCCCGCATTTCTTTTGCACCTTTGGGCCGCGCCTTGATGTGGCCGCATTGACATGCCGCCTTTTGGTTCACATCACACAGCTACTTTGACTTACCATCTTGGAAGGAAAGGGCCATCCACATGTCTTGTTTTGCAGAAACACACTTTTTTGAGCGCGGAGATGCTGGCAAAAGTTTATGTTGAAGGATCCTCGTTTGCTATATGTTCAATTCAATGATGAGATGTGATCAATCTCTGCGATGTTCTGCAAGCCGTTCCATCAACTATTTTTCCGGTACTGCCAGGGGTCTGAGCAGTATGGTCGTTGCCCTACTTGGTGAATTGTTGTTGCATCCAATTTCCGGGGTGTTTTCCCCAAGGGCAGGAGACTTGGAGATCTTGCTGCAGCTGCCAGTGCTCAAACTAGTGCTGACTCGGGTCAGCGCCGCTGCCCCTGCACCTTACACCGCCGTCCGCAGTCCTTGTCGGCCTTTAAGATCCCTCCTTCCAAAACCCTTGCCGCCCGCCCTCCTGTCCATGCAAGCGTACAAACCCACAAAAACACACATAAACAAACACAAGCGCGCGCCCACAAACACACACAACATATACACACACACACAACATATACACACAAACAACAACAAGAAACGCGTGTGCGCACGCTGAAATGCCATGTCCAAGCCCGCGGAGGACCTGCTTCATCACTTTAAGGCGCGACAGTAGGTTGGGCACTGCGCTTTCGAAGCCCCATTTTGTTGCAGGTGAGTTGCCTTTTCCCTCTTTTCGCAACGGCACGTGCGGCAATTCCAGCTTGATTTTCTAGTTGCGGCTGGCTTTATCGACGCCAGGATGGCTGCCTGCGTTATAGGGCGGGGGAGCGGGCTTCGCGGGAAGGAGGTGCGCCTTGGAGGGCCACCACCACCACCATTTTGGCGTTGGGTTGGTTTCAGATTCACGGTGGGGGATTCTTTGGCTCGAGTTACACCCCAGGATGCGTCGACTGCGAAAATATGCACTTGTTTTTGCATGACCCGAAAGCGGTGACAAGGTTGCACATCTAAACGGGAAAAACAAACAAGTGTTTCCCTGCGCCCTTTGGGTCAAAATTTGGGTTTGTAGCTGGGGAATCTCCCAAAATGAGTGGACCATGACCATGACCCAAACAAGTTCTGGTGTTCACTGTAGCTTGCCTTAAAACCAAACCCAAAGATGGGTACCCTCAAACAAACCCGCTCCATCCGCCCCAGGCCCTGCTGGAGTCGGCAAACCCGGCGCACGACGCGCAAAACCTCGACAGCTTCAGGGGCCTTGCGCGCGGACGCCGCCAGGGGCTCTTTGAGATCAGCGCCCTGGAGGGATTTGTTGGTGACTTTCAGGTCCCTTAAGAAGGTTAACCCCGGATTCATAAACCCCCTGTTTATTCTTGGTCCCAGCCACCCGGTTCCTCTGCCTTTTAGCTTTTGTGGGGCTTAGTGGTAGTAATCCACTAAAAGTTAAACTTTTAGCAGTGGATCTGAGGGTCCTGGTTTGAGTGGGGACTTTTCATTGTTGGAGGGGAACAAGGGGTTGTGGCATCAAGGGTCCAGGGTTGTGGGGGCACTCGGGGTTTATCCAACCACTTCCATGGTACAAGGGAATCTCCTCCATTAAAAAAAGGGGGCTAGTCTTTTGGAAAGCCCGATTTGTTGTATTATCACAGAAGTCGTCCTTTCCCACAGCCCTGGTCGGGTCCCGAAAAAAATGGCGATTCAATTTTTGTGTGCTGTGGGTGGCCCTTTTAGTGGTTTTAAAGGCGAACCAAAAGGAGAACCAGCATATGCATGTTTTTTGGGGGGAGGCCTTTCAAGAAACGCAGCGAGATGGTCCAACAAGAGGAAACAAACAAAACAAGGTTTCTTCCATTAAGCCTATTCTGGTTCGGGGGGCTTGGGGCAACCCTGTGAACAGACACACACAGGGCAATTTGGAGGATCCCTGCCACATCGCCAGTGACGGCACTGGTGTTTTTTTTGAATGAATTTGTGTGGTTTTGACAGGAAACCAAGGTCAGATTACCCTTAATTCGTGGTTTGGATTGGTGGTTTGGAGTTGGATTTGAACCCTCGGCTCGGATTCTTGTAACTTCCTTCAACACCCAACCGGGCTCGATTCAAACCACGTAGAGGATAACCTGAAAGGGGAAAGCAAAGGGAAGTGGGGTGATTTTGTTGAAAACAAGGGAAAACAAAGGGGAAACAAAGAAAACAAAGGGGAACACAAAGGGAAAACAAAGGGAAACCATGTTGACTGAGTGGATTTTTGTTGCCTGGACTCCAAAAGGGTGGTACAGTGGTGGTGCCGAGCGGGACGACTCCGGTTCCAGAAAGCTTTTCAGAGGTGGTTTGCCCGGTTTAGTGGTCGGGCTTCCGAGCTTAACTCACAAGTCAAACTGTCCCAGTGGGTGTCATTAAAAGTCAAATGCAGAAGCGCTTGGGCGGAAGCGTCTCGTAGCTGCCACGATGACACTGCAGTGCGAGCATTCGGCAGGGTGCAAACAAGCAGCGCATCGCAAACTAACTGCAGGGCTTGCACTTTGCAGTCCCAAGGTTGCTTCCAGTTGCCTCTATAGGTATTGTTACCTCTAGGTTTTACCTGATGGGCCCGGGTTCTTATTGAGGGCAAATAGGAAACCACCACCCCTATCTCAAAAACACCAATCCAAATCACCAGAGCACTTGGACGGATGGCTTCTGCTGAAGCTGCTGATGTGATCCTCAATCGATTGGCAGTCCTCGCTCTGGGGCCGGTTGCCTCCTTTGACACAAGCAACCAAGCGTAAACGAACGAAGCATCGGAAAACAATACAAGCAGAATGTTTAGGGATGGCAATTATATATATATATATATTCAAGTGCGTGTGAAGTATGGCATATATAACTTTATGTATGCATGCATATCTGTCCGTTTGTCACGCCACGTCTCGTCATGTGTCAAAGTTCAAGAATCGATTTGTAGTTCGTGTCCCTTTTCGCTCAGGGACCTTCAGTCACAATGGCAAGATGGTCAGAGGGCTCGCGGCTACAGGCAACTTCAAAGCTGGAGAGTCTTGCCATACTCGGAGTCATGCGGGGGAGCAGCTTCATAGTGACGAGGCCAAGCACAAGAGCCACGACCTATGGTTCCCCTTGTTCTTGGTCTCAAATGTTGGACCTTGCTTTGAGGATTTGTTTCGGGGGGGCCTTAAATGGCTTCGCACTTGTTCCTGCAAGCTTTGCCGAGGCCCTTCTCCATGTACGCTTCCTGTGGACGAAGGAATGGATGTTATGCATCAATGGAGGGTTTGAATGTTCTGAAAATAGGGCGCCAACACAACTTGGTTTTGTTGTTTCTCTAGCCTAGGACACCCCAGCAAGGTTCTCTCAAACAGATGCCGGCTTGCATCATGAAGGCTTGTTTGTTCGAACCCATGTAGGGTGAGGTCACCCAATCGTAAAGAAAACACTGACCCTTTGGCCATTTCTCAGTTGCCCGAACCGACCTTTTGACCTGTTGGTGTGTCCGGCCATGCTTTTCCGCCATGACCCCAACAGCTTCACCTTGTATTTCTGGATCCTTTGTTCACTCCCTGGGTTGCCGGACTTTAGTGATTTTTTTGGGGGCATGGACCCTTTTATTCCTGGTCAAGGGGCAGGGGCAACTGAGATAAAGCCGAGCCTTTGGACCCTTTCGGTTTGGAAGTTTCGGAAGTTCTCGGGCCATTTGGCCGAGAGCTCTCGGCACATTGCCGGCTATGGGCGGTACCCTTTGGGGCGTGGAGGTTGTTCTTTAGGAGGGGCTTATCCTTGTTCAGGTCTTCCCTAGTTGGTGGTTTGGATTGCTGGTGCGGGGTTTGAACCCCAGCTCCTTTTGAAGACAAATGGGGAAGGTCCCCCGGAATCCTCCGTTCTGTGAATGGCTCAGCTACCTTTTTTGGGAGCTGAAGTAGAGGGAAAGCACACCCAGCGCTTCCTTCCGGGTCAGGGGAACTCCAATACCAGGATACCTACAGTGACAAGCACCGAGCTTGCGAAGTCCAGGTTGGAAAGCAGGATGCATTCCATAAGCAGAGGCGCCCGCACCGGTGATTCCTTGAATGAGGGGTTGCTATTGTCTTGCATTTAACCATGCAAAAGCGACTGCAGCCAGTACCAAACTCAACCAACCTGTTTGCCCTATGCACTTTGAGGAGTCCTTCGTTCCCTTTTTAACCAACAACAAACATGAAACCCAGAGGGCCGCTTTAAGAGGGAAGCGCCCCCCCCCGTCAGGTTCAATGTTAGTGGGCAGAAGGGTATTGGGTATTTGCTCTTGTTCGTGGAACTCTCACAAAACCAGGGACAAGCTCTGCTTATCCCATGTTGGGGAAGCAACTCAGATTTGTGGTTTGCCCTGAAACCAACCTTAGGGGTACCCTCAAAAATTATCGCAACCGTTTGGATTTGATTGGATGTGCTTTGTTTTTCACGGGAAGCCAGGAACATCAGGTATCCCACCGGTAATTGGTGTTTCGGATTCCCTGCTTCTCGTAGAGGGTCAGGGAACCACCCCTAAGCACCAAACCAAACCACCAAACCAACAAACCCCCAATCCAAACCACCAAGCCCAGCCCTTTTGAGGCTCGAAATGGCAAACTGGTACCCCCGGAATCAACGTCCAAACCACCAGGCTTTACCTTAGGAACCAAGGGTTCAACCCCCCCCCCCCAAGTCTCTGTTGCTCGAAGTAAGGAGCCCATCATGCTGATCCCCAAGCCCTTGCTGCTGGAGAGCGCCGTCGCTGGAGCTGCTCCCCGCTTCGCCGGCGCCAAGACGCCCGAAAGCGAACCGGTCTTGGTGGGCAAACTTTGGAAGCGTTTTTTGTAGGAGATCTATGAGTCGAAGAAAGGCTGATGTTACACGATGCCGCATATATTTGGAAGGAGGGACGCTTTTTCGCCTAGGCTTCCGGTCAGGTTCCATGTCTGGTAAACGCCTTCCGATTGCGACACGCTTACCTTTTCAATGCAACTGAAGGGTTTGCAGCGCTCCTTTTCGTATCCAGTGCTTCCGGCATTTCCACTAGAGTAGGTAATCCTAAAGAATCCTTAAATCTAGCTTTCACATGGGGAAACCCTGGGTACCTATAGTGCCTATAGTGGCTTGCCGGAAGGAAGCACTGGGATTAGCCAAGCTTTGAGGCTCCTCAATTGAACGCTTCGGCCTGTTCCTTGGCATTTTGGCCCACGACGAGTAGCTTTTGTGGGGATGAGGATGTTGGGCTACCACCAGAATTGCTCGGATTTCCCTGATTTTAGATAGTTCCTGTGTCCAATTCAACACTTACCTGCTATTTCATCCCGGAGTGCGGTGCCCAATATTGACACTCTCCCTTGATAGTTTGCTTCTCTAAACGGCGAACTGTTATTTATCTATTCACACGAGACGTTGCCCGTGTATCGCTTTTCTGGCCCTCATCAGTTCCCAGTGGTAACTTCCGCTTTGCAGTCCTTCTTTCCAGAAAGCCACCCGAACCCAAATCGCCTTTTCCATTAAGTCTACAAAAGGTCCAACAGAGGCGACCCAGTTATGTTAGATGGTTTGAAATGTGATGGGCCAAAATAGGGCTTTGGACCTTGAAAGCTATGGTTTTTCTGGTTTCCTCTGGGTCTAAAGCTGCTTGGGTTGACCGAGGAAGGCGGCGGGCAAGCTGGCGCTGCTGCTGGCAGAGCGACGGGCTGAACTCCTGACGCTCGAGGAATTGAGCTGCCGGTTTCTAGCGCACACGTCCATTTCCATTCCATGGTCGTTGCTGGGAAACATTTTACATCAGGGTTGTGGGATCACTCGGGGTTTTCCAACCACTTCTGTGATACTTTTGGGAATCTCCCCCTGCATATGGGGTGTTAGTATTTGGGAAACCCTTTATGCTGTATCACAGAAGTGGTCATTTCCCACAACCCAGTTTTACATTTTTGCTTATTATGGCTTAGTGGTTGAAATCCAACCACTCAACTGCTTTTGTTGGTTTTGCTCCCCTTCCAACGTCAACCAAGAATTCTTTCCAGGGATCCGAATCTTTCCAGAAAACCATCAGAACCCCAGGGGAAACAGCGATCGGTTTTTGAAAAGAAGGATGGTTGAAAAGAATTGGAATTCAACCCCTAGACTGTTGGATTCTTTCACCCAGTGCGTCCTTCCGGCGTTTCGCCACTTCAATCAATCAGGGGAAACCCATCATATAAAAGTCGCACTCCTGAAGGGTTACTGAAGCACTGTGTGAGATTTGGGTGGGTCTTATAGAGGGCACACCCAACATAGTGCTTTTCTTCTTGGTTTCGCAAAACCTTTTTGCCAATTTGATTCTTTGACCCTTCCAGGCGTTAACCAGGAGTTTCCCCTTTTCCACGGTAAAACCTGGAGGTTGCAATGCCGAAGGCTTACCTACTACAGAAGCAGCTGGAAGCACTGAGCGATATTTGTTTGTGTCTTACATCGGGGTACCCCCCAAAATCGCGGTTTTCTCTTAGATTTCCAGAAATCAGCCACCCAGAAATTGGGCATACAAAGACACCACCTTATGATGGCGAGCTCACCCGGCAAAGGGAGCTCACTTGGGAATTAGCACGGCATGACGCAAAGCGACCCTTAGTTCAATAGCCGCCAGCGGCACTGGTCGGTGACTTACGGATCCTCAATACCAGGTTACCAGTGCAAGGCATTCCCATTTGCAGGACGGCTTGGATGATCACGTCATGCCGCGCGATGGCTTTTGTTTACTCAAAAACCCTTCTCCCGAAAGAAACCTTTCTTCACTGTTCTTGCCATGTTGATTGGTTTTTTTATTTTTTTGGTTCTGTTCATCTTTACTGGGGGTCTGCAAAAAACAAAGTTTTTCGCTACCATACCAAGAGTAGAGATGCTTTGCTGCCTGTCGAGCAACTTCACCCAAGATGTTCAATTTACCCGAGGAACACGGGAATGGACAATCCCTCCTGTTTGCCACCCAGTCTGTTGCATGCTTTTGCATGTTGCTCGTTGAATCCGACATTTGAGACGCCATGTGCCACCCGAGGTCGGGACAAAGCGTGATGCCTTCGGAGCAGCAGAAATTCTGGCAAGAGTACTTTGCCACCCTGCCCAGCTTGCAGGACATTTGTTTTCCTTTGAAAGCCTTGGGTTGCGAGCTGCGGGTTGGGTGCATCCTGTTTCGTTTGTTTGTCTGAGTCTGAGTCCGAGTCCGAGTCCGAGTCCGAGTCCGAGTCTGAGTCTGAGTCTGAGTCTGAGTCTGTGTGTGTGTGAGTCTGTCTCTGTCTCTATCTCTGTCTCTGTCTCTTTCTCTGTCTGTGTTTGTCCTTGACCTTCCGCAACCTGCTTTTGGCGGGTCTCTCCGAATCTTTCGGAATGCAGCCTGCTTTTCGGCGGCCTAGGCCCCATTTGCAGCGCTTGCCTAAATGGGTGCAAAAACAAAGGTGAGTGTGTTGCCTAAAAAAATGAACTCTAGGATAAATCTTATGGCGAACTGTGCTTTCACTTCCCAATTACTTGTAAATTGACTTGTCGGGACGCTTCCGCGGTGAATCTGTTTGAGCCTGTACTTTGTTCCAGCGCAATTGGCAACAACACGAGCTGCAGCAAAGCCCTTAGGCACCATCATTTGGGAATGGATTGGCATCTGAATTTGCAGTAATCATGGTGCCTGTTGATTAGACGCTAGTCTGTGTGAGTCTTGTGTGCATCAGTGGCCCCAGAGTTGAAACATTGTGCGGGACGAATCGATGGACAAATGTGGGCGCAGCGTGAGCATAGGTATATAGAGTAGGTTTTGCGTGAGTTGTTCGTGAGTTTTGCGTGATGGCGGCCCCGATTTTGCGCGAAAGGCCCTCTTTTGGCGCAAAAGGCCGTGAAAAAACGTAAGAAAATCGTGAGGCCAGCGTGAATGTGGGGACCACTGCATTGTCATTTTGCACAAGCATTGCCCTTACAAGTGCTGCCTGGCTTTCACTGTTCTGCACACCGCTTCATTATGATGTTCGTCGGCAAAGGTGTTTCCAGCAGAAAAGTGGCGTGCTTTCGAGTGGTCTTTCATGTGGAGCTAAACTGCAAGGGGTCGCTCTTGTCGCGTTGCTCTACGCTTTCACGGTCTTTCGCACTAAAAGATGGCCTTTCCCTAAAAAAACGAGGCCAATGTCACGCAAAATTCAAGCAGAAGTTTCGCAAATCGCTCGATCTACAAACGCACATTCCTTGAAATGCTGTGAAAGCCACACTCGGGATAAGGATTCAAAACAGTAATACCCAAGCCAGCAAACTAATGCTGTGTAACTACACGACCAGTGCTGCTGTAAAACAGGCCTCTCCCCGTAACATTTTGGGTCGGCCTGCGTTTTGCGGGTCCTATATCGTAAGACCTGCTAAAAGCGGACTTTTGGAATCTCAAGGTGTGTGTGTGTGTGGGCGTGTGTTTGAATGTGGTGTGGCGCAGATGGAAGCGCACGGCCAAGTTTTGCCACGGCGTTTAAAGATGGCTAGCACATTCCTGTAGCTTCTTTCTCGTCCGATCCAGAGTGAGACTCGAAGGTTTGGCAGGCCCTAGCTGTTCAGTTTTGCCTTGGATTTCCAACCAAAAAGGAGCGGTGCCATGGTTTTACCACGGTCTCTGACAGTGTTTGGGCATGTGGGAGGCCTTTTCCGCGGCTCGAGCCAGGAATATCGACGCGGCAGCCTCATTGCCGCTCCCGAAGAGGACCTGCGGTCGCTGCAGGACGGATGCGAGACGTTCATCCCACCTATAGCTTCATGGCTGTTCGGTTGCGAGACATTCATCCTCTAGCTGTATGGCTGATTTTGGCTTTTCGGTGGGACCTTTCCACTTTTTGTGGTTGAAACCGTGGGCTTTCCCCATTGGACCCCATTTGCAGAGGGGGTCGCGGCATCTCGGCTAGAAAGCTGCGTGCTGGCGTTTCGGGGCCCCAGCCCGGGAACCAGGCTCCGCTTGGGTTTTTTGGGGGCACTAGCGCCCACTTTTTGTTTGGGCTCGGAGCATTTTTGTGGCAAGAGTTTGGAGTTTTGTTGGTTCAGCCGCTCAGAAAGTGAGTGTTCCTTGACAGGTTGAGCAAGTTGAGCTCAAGTCTGTTTTTAAGGCTATGCCTTTTTGGTGGTTGTAAAGGGAACCCTCTTGGAAAAGCCAAAAACACATACCCATGTAGAACTCGTTGTAGAGGTCTTCATCGGTCACAACGCCTTGTCGTGTTCTCAGCTCATCTCCAAGTTTCGGAACCCTCACAGCAGCCGAACGGGGCAAACAGTTCTGTCACACCGTGTGATCGATCCGAGTCAGAGAGAGGCAGTGCGGGACATGGAGTTGTTTGTTTTGTTTTTAATCTATAACGGGAACCCCGGATTAAGAAGCCCTGGTTGAAACAAATAGGGGGTGTCCCTGGTTTAGTGGGGATTCAGATCACTTTGTAAGGGGGACACGCCCTTATTGGGACGGTTTTGTACATCTGGGGTCAACATTAATTACTCATGTAACATGCATGCAGCCGATTCACAGGAAAGCTTAAAAAAACATGGAGGAGTCTGTTGGTGAATCGCCCTTACGGGTGCCATGGAATTTGCAAAAGATTCCATTCCAAACCCGAACCACTCCCGTTTCCGTCCATGGCTTCAAAACGGGTTTGCTATTTGCAGGGTCATTATGTCATTGGGAAACTTGTCCTGCTGAGGGCGGGGGGCCGTAGTTACGTTCAATTGGAGCTGCCCTAGTTGCACAATGAACCTGATAGACAAACGAGTTTAATCGGGTCGGTTGAACAAGTGCCTTTACCAGATGAGGATCCCATTGTAAAGCAGGCAGCTTTTGCCTTAAGAAGTTGAAGGAATGTACGCCCCAGATTGACATGAGCGCCTCTGTTTTGGATTCCGTGTCAATTTGGGGAGTATCCTGCATGCCCTCTTTACGGATTTGTTTTGCCCGGCTGCTAGAGGGGAAGTGAGAAACTGCCCCTGGCCCAACAACCAATCAAGTCTGAATGTATACCCTCACAAATGGATTCTCATGGGTTCATATATGGCCCAAAAAACACTCAGCCTTTGAACCAATCCAAATGAGGTAAGCCTTAGCTGGTTGGGGATTTTTGTTGCCCTGCTTCTAAAGGGTACAAAAGGGTACATGGGGAACACATCACAACCACCAATCCACACCACGGGGATTTTGTTGTTCCCCCTGCTTCGTGTAGAGGCGAACTGAACCGCCCGTGCCCTCACAGCCAATCCAAACAACGGGACCCGCGGCGATCATAGGTGTCCTGTTTGGTTGTTTTGGTCGAAAAATAGATGGGTTTCGATTCCTGGTTTACCTGGTGTTTTTTTTCTCATCTGCCAGGGAAACCCCTCTATTTCCAACCTAAAAGGGACGCCTATGGCGATCTTTTTGGGACCACGGCCAGGGGCTACCGCGGCTGGGCCGCGTGGCGGAGCGTCTGCTGGGGCCCCGCCAGCGCCTCAAAGAGGCGCTGGATTTGTACAACGAGCGCCGGGAAAACCGCCCGAAGCTGTCCTGGGAGGACGGACGCGGGGGACGGCGGTTACGGCTCCCACGTTTGGAACCTGACGTTCGGGACCCGGGCCCAAGAGGAAAATGATCTTCCAGGTACCTTCCCACAGGTGCGATCTGGTAGTGGAAGGGAAGGTTTATGCAGCTCTGAACCACAGCTCAGCAGGTGTCCTGAGCTCAACTTGTTGGGTGTGGCTCAAAATGAAAGAGCTAGGGTTACGCAGGTTTGAGTCTTTGGTTCCACTGACCAAGGTATATCAAGGTGCGATTTTGGCACATGTTTTCAAGCCAAAGCCATGTTAGTTGAAGGCAATTGGACCTCCGGTGTGTGGCGCGCTCAGCCATAAGGACGCAAACCCTGTAAAGTGCCAGGATGCGCTTTGGGGCTTTGCCGTGTCAACCACCCGGGGGGCGAATGGCATCATCGTGCCCATCTTGGACTTTATCAACACGGCCGAGGCGGGGCAGCTTGGACAAACCGCCGGGTTGATATCAAAACGCCGGGTTTTCCTGTTTGGTTCCCCTTGAAGACCACCCCAAAACGGGCACCGGGGTTCCCCCCCAAAAAAAAACCAACCCGTGCAGGACGGAACACCTATATTTGCTTGACAGGACGGGTGCAGGCAGAGCCTGGCTTTTGCCACCCTTCGTTGCCCAACCTCCCGTGAGCTCGTCAGGACCCGGCGGCCAACAACGTGCACTTTGTGGAGATGGCGAACGGCCCGGGGAAGGCCGTGTTTGTGGTTGCTGGCAACAATCTCCAGGCCTGGGCCGCCTGGGACCCTGACACACGTAAATGCGAAGGCCTTGCTGCCTTCTCCGTCGGATGTGAGTCGGAGAGAGGCTCAGGAAGCACCGGGGCTTGCAACTCCCGCGAACGGCAGCTCCAAAAAGAACCCCTGGGTGCGTCCTGTTGTCTCTTTTAGGGAGCCCCCTTTGTTTAGTGCTTGTTTTTCTCCAGAAAACCGCCGTGTTTTTTTAAGCCCTCGTTTTTCAGGTTCATTTTTCCAGGGACTAAGGTTGACACCGGCGCCTGAAACACGGGGCTTGGGGGCGACCCCTTCTTCCGAGCGGCCCGCCCGACGCTTCGCCGCTTCGCTTCGCTGCCAGGAGATCCAGACCGGCGAGGAGCTGCTGGCGGACTACGGCCACCACGGGCTGCGCCTGCTGACGCAGTACGGGGTCCAAAACAACGCCTCCGGGGCCTCCGAGGCGCGGGGCGCGAATGCCGGAGGAAGTTGCGAAGGGGTGGAAGGCAACGCGTTCTACAGACCTGTGGGGTTTGGGGCTTTTAAAGATTAGGGTTTGGGGGGCTCACTGCAAGTAATGGTCAAAAAAAAAGACAAACGTCGGTTGGTTAACAGGGCTAGTATTTCACTAGGGTGAAGGCAACTCTTACAGATCTCCAGGTTCCACAGGCCTTGGGGTTGAGTATGGGTTTGGGGCGTGGGGTGTAAAGGCTTGGACAGACATTCTCAGCCATTTCCCGTTGTAGAGGCTCCATTTCGTGGTGGGCGTTTCAATGGAACCCACCAGGAAATTGATTCCCACGTTTGACTTGATCCAGTGATCCCTGAAATCTGAAATGAAGGCAACTCTTTCTGAAGAGCTCTGGGGTTCAGGCTTTTTAGGGACGAAGCTTTGGGCGTTGTATCGGGTGTGGAGATGTGTGGAGTTTTGTTCATAGGTGTCCTTGTTGGTTGTTTTGGTAGAAAAGTAGATGGCCCTGGTTTACCTGATGGTTTTTTTCTCATCTACCAGGGAAACCCATCTATTTCCCCTAAAAGGACGCCTATGGTTTTGTTTGCTCGGAACAACATGGAACAGCCAATTGCCAGCCAGTTGCCAGCAACATGCGCTGGAAGAATCGGCCTCAATTGGTTCGGACTGGCGCAAAATGAGTACTCATAGCCACTGACATTCAAGGGGGGCAGACCTGGACGAGAAAGACGGACCAACCGATATATGGGGTAATATCTGGTGGCTCCAAGTTTGGCCCGGTTTGATACACATATCCCCGATGAAACCATTGTGGTCATATGCCCTCACCTTCCAACATGGAAGTGCACAGTCCCCTTTTGAAGCACTACCCCCACACAAGTTAACATACACACTCCAGGAGAAGTCTACTTTGCTTTGCGGAAGCGAGCCTCACTTCTTTGGAGCGTAAACAACATGCTAGCGTGGAGTGTTTTGTTGTCCTTTTTCGGAAATCAAGTTGCTTAACCATGACTTATCTTTGTGACCGAATTGACTCTTGGACCTTCGGCAACGCGTGGCTTTTCCATGAAACCTGCCTTTTTGCTCCCAGTACGACTGTTGTAGGTACTGTAACCAGATACGGCTACCTCTGGGTTTACATCCTGGCTAGTCTTACTCCCTGAGTTCATGGACTTCAACTTTTTTGGAAAACACACATGTTCAGTGGTAAACACAAAGTTCCAGGACTTTTCTTGGCCACACTGCTTCGGAAGTGAGTGGCTTGCCTGTTGGTGATCCTGAACGAACTAATCAAATTGAATTAATTACAAATACATCAATGATTGTTGCATGATTTGGGTTTGAATAAGGGAATTACTTTTTTAATTAACAAACATCAACAACTGGTTGCCCGTGCGCAGGACTTTAGCTCCGCGGATTGCGCGCAGCTGCGGAGGGCGAAGCTGGACAGCGTCGCCCTGGAGCCCCTGAAGAGTTTCGTGGCGGAGCGCTGTGGATGGTGCGATGCCTAGAACCGCTAGGGGCGGGTTTCCAAGAGGCCCCCATATTCTTCCCCAGAATTAGCTCCCCCTTTTTTTCCATTTTTTGAGGCTTGTTTTGGGTCTCGTTGTTTTCCACTACCCAGGCAAAAACATATTTTTTGCTGGGGTCCGAATTCCAGCCTAGTATTTGTAACATGTTGCGGCATACACTCACTCCAACAGGGTTCCGGATCTCGGATTTGAGCCACTTTGTGTGTTTGGACAATTTTAGTGGAAAACAAATATAGTTTGGACTTTTTCTGGTCAATCCACTCAAGAATTGAGTACATAGCCTTTACCATTCCATACAAACCAAGTAGAAAATGGCCGGTTTGCAGCAAATGGCTTGGGGATCTTTGGGAGGCAACGGGAAAAACAGATGGTGGATTGGTTTGCCAGGCGCTACACAGACACATGGCCAGCATGAGGTCAGCCCTTCTCAAGCCCTCGCTTCCTGGGTTCCTGGGACTTCGAGCTTTTTGGGTTTGGACCATTTTAGTGGCAAGCATCGTGTTTTGGGACGTTGGGAACATCAACTCAGGAAGTGGGAGCCGACCCTCATTCACTTTGCTCTCCAGCGTTTGCAAGCGAAAAGGTGGAGAATACGCCCTTTGTTGTGAGGTCGGTCTTGCTACCTGCTAGAGTGATGAGAATAATTACTTAACAATCGCTTGGGACATGGAGTTTGTAATCCGTCCTTGGCCTGCTGGAAATGATTTCCCTCCCCTTTGCATTGCACTTCTACGCTCCTGAGGTCAGATATTGACGTTGCCCAGGCGCATTTGCCGCTGCTATGGCTTCCACCGATGTGGAAGAAGAGAGCCAGCGGCTTCTTGTGAAAAAAAATGTGCTTGCGCCAGCCGGGCCTTTGTTTGGATGCCTTGCGCCAGGATGAAGGTACACCGGATGAAGGTATTCTGAGTGGTGCGTCTTTTTTGAGGGGCTTCTGGCCCCGGCATCGCGGAAGGCAACTTGACGTGTGAGGCGAGATAGGAAGTACCAAAGATCGGTAAGGGACAAGGCGTTTGGCTTCTATTCCTTAGAAAGCTGCATGCTTTCGAAAGCACGTTTGAAACCTGTAATTGCGAGTGCCAGACATGAACTGACACGCTTAGGTAGGCTAGACATGAGAGCCAACGACTCTGTTTCTTCAACGGCAGGGTCTGCTATGGCGGGCTGTGTGGGGTGTGTGTGTGTCTTTGTTTGTTAGCTCTCTCTCTCTCTCTCTCCTTCTTTTGCTCTCTCCTCTCTCTCCCTTTCCTCTCATCGGGCACCCCCTGCCAGAACCCTTTGGGCCACAGCTGCTCAGAAGCTTGTTCAAGCTTCCCGGGAGGAGCATCGTTCATTCTTAAGCCTGCGCTGGAGGTTGACTCGGAAAGGGACCAAGATTGGAAAGGAAAGTGACATTGGTTCCTCACTTCCTGAGTTCCGTTTTGGACAAGTTCGTAGGTTAATTTATTTGAGGTTTCTATTAACCGTTCTCTTTTGGCATGGCTTACCCCAAGCTTTGACTTTCGCGTGACGGGGATTCCGGAGCCAGGCGCAGCACCTTTGGCCAAAGGACAGGGGGCAGCACCATTTAGAGCGATCAGCTAGCAGGGGCGTGTTCTGTTCAGGCCCAAGTATATATATATGGTCACCCCCCCCCCCAGGGCCTACCTTTCTACTTTTTGCATGACAGAGATTTATTTGCAGATGTTCAGTGTCCACTTGGTTTGCAGATGCCTTGCAGACAGCACTGTAATTTACGGTGTTTTTGTGCAATTTTTGATATTGTCTCAGATGTGCTTTCTGTACTTGATGCAAAACAGGATTCGAGAAAGCAACAAACACGAAAACGGAAAGCGTTTTCAGAGGCAACTTTGTCAGTAGTGAAATCACTGTTATGTGCAGTGTTTTTTTAAGGAAACTGCAAAACAACACCTTTTTTTGACGTTTTTGATGGTTTCAGCGTCAAAACCTGCACAGGCTCAAAAAATGCAAAAAAAAAAAAAAAACAAACCTGGAAGCTCCAAAACCTGCACAGGCTCCAAAAAATGCAAAACATGCAAAACCCAGATGCAATGTTAGAGGTCAGGGCTTGATTGGTCTGGATTTTTGCATTTTTTGCATTTGTTTGAGCCTGTGCAGGTTTTGGAGCCTTGGGTGCTTAAAACCTGCACAGGCTCAAAAAAATGCAAAAAATCCAAACCTGGAAGCTCCAAAACCTGCACAGGCTCAAAAAAATACAAAAAATGCAAAACCCAGATGCAAGTCAGAGGTCAGAGCTTGATTGGTCTGGATTTTTGCATTGTTTGCATTTTTTGAGCCTGTGCAGGTTTTGAGGCTTCCTGGTTTGTTTTTTGTGCTTTTTTTTGAGCCTGTGCAGGTTTTGGAGCCTTGGGTGCTTAAAACCTGCAAAGGCTCAAAAAAATGCAAAAAATCCAAACCAGGAAGCCTCAAAACCTGCACAGGCTCAAAAAAATGCAAAAAGTGCAAAACCCAGATGCAAGTCAGAGGTCAGGGCTTGATTGGTCTGGATTTTTGTATTTTTTGCATTTGTTTGAGCCTGTGCAAGTTTTGAGGCTTCCTGGTTTGGATTTTTTGCATTTTTTTGAGCCTGTGCAGGTTTTGGAGCCTTGGGTGCTAAAAACCTGCTCAGGCTCAAAAAAATGCAAAAAATCCAAACCTGGAAGCTCCAAAACCTGCACAGGCTCAAAAAAATACAAAAAATGCAAAACCCAGATGCAGGTCAGAGGTCAGACCTTGATTGGTCTGGAGTTTTGCAGTTTTTGCATTTTTTTGAGCCTGTGCAGGTTTTGAGGCTTCCTGGTTTGGATTTTTTGCTTTTTTTTGAGCCTGTGCAGGTTTTGGAGCCTTGGGTGCTTAAAACCTGCACAGGCTCAAAAAAATGCAAAAAATCCAAACCAGGAAGCCTCAAAACCTGCACAGGCTCAAAAAAATACAAAAAATGCAAAACCCAGATGCAAGTCAGAGGTCAGGGCTTGATTGGTCTGGATTTTTGTATTTTTTGCATTTTTTGAGCCTGTGCAAGTTTTGAGGCTTCCTGGTTTGGATTTTTTGCATTTTTTTGAGCCTGTGCAGGTTTTGGAGCCTTGGGTGCTTAAAACCTGCACAGGCTCAAAAAAATGCAAAAAATCCAAACCTGGAAGCTCCAAAACCTGCACAGGCTCAAAAAAATACAAAAAATGCAAAACCCAGATGCAAGTCAGAGGTCAGGGCTTGATTGGTCTGGAGTTTTGCAGTTTTTGCATTTGTTTGAGCCTGTGGCCAGCTTTGATGCCATTGAGAAACCAAGCCATTGAGGTAATGAGTGCTCTACTGATAAATCAGATGCTTACAGGACAGCCTTTGATATAACAGTGCAGCAGTGATGACACACACACACAATCATCAACCTTTTAGGACCACATGCCCAAACCACATCAAACAAGGCCTCAAATGTGTGTCCTTTTCTTCCCAAACAATAGTTTCCACTTGCTACGCAATAAGCCTACAGAAGGTTTATAAACTTTCAGAAAAGTTTATAAACCTTATTGAGTGTTTGACGAGTTTCCCGCATCAAGGCAACAACACCCTACGAAGTGTTCATGGTATCGTTGAAGGAGGGGGGGGGGGTGGTTGGAAATTTTGGGAGGGGGGGGGGGGGTGGTTGGTTGGAAGTCTTAGCAGTGAGGTGTGACTCAGCCAACTTTGTAAAGACTTCTCAGTACCCCCCCCCTGCCCTTGTTGCAAGGAAACCGTCAAACCCTTGACATGGTTTATAAACTGTCTTGAAGGTTTATAAACTCTTTGCTGTTGTTACTCAACATGACTTGTCACCCACAAAAAAATATGCAGCAACAGCACACTTCTTGCGTATATATGCTCACACCCCCTGTCCTTAAAAATAAGAGGGTTTTGTACATTTTGAAGTGGAAAGGTAGGCCCTGGGGGGGGGGGGGTGAGCATATATATATATATATAGATGTTAATTTGCATATATGCATATGCATAAATATATTGCACACAGGCGTATCTACGGCAAATCATCTTGACATGTATTGAGCCAGTTCTCTCAAACGATGTGGCCGTTGGTTCTTGCGAGGCGAGGTTACATTTTGCAGTGTAAGGTCAAGCGAGATGCCCAGGACAGGACTAGGCAGTGTTTCCGTCCTGTCATAGTCTTGATTGACCCCTTGCGGCAAGCACTGAGTCTGACATATTTGGATGCACGACAAGAGCTGTTCGCACGAGGAGCGAAAGTATCACAAGGCGCACTTCCTCTATGCAGAGCTGCCAGAGGAGCGACGGACCTTGCAAACATTTGTAGGGTTGGCCCAGGAGAAGATGCCTTGACAAGACAGCCATAGAGGGATCATTCAGCCTCCATGTAGGTGTGTGTGTGTGGGTGTGTCTCCCAACAGGATGTGCCCCTTGTTATCATTTCCTTTAAGGAAAAGCCCCTTCCGCAAAACCCGGGAGGTCGTTCCCTAATGGCACCAGCAAGTGCCAGGACGTGAATCCTGAGAACCTGAGCCCGGATTCGGCCGACGTCCAGGCCAAATTTTTCGGGGGATCCGGATCCGAGAATTGATTTTTTTCGGGCTGGTGATGTGGGCAGATTTGATGTTTGACTCCAGCTATTGAAAATTCTAGCTGTACCTTCCCCCACTCTCTTCAGGGATGCTTCTCTTCAAAGAACACGCCAAATCCATGGGAAAATGGGCGGTTTCTAAAGAGAACGATGGGTGAAGAGAATGGGGAATCAACCCTTAGAAAGATGCCCCGTTGCTTCAGCCGTCCGTTTTGTGCCGATTCTTGTGAGCTGTCGGCTGTTGCACTTCCCAGCTGCATCAATGTGCATCAGCTGCGCTCCAGAATCGAACACATCATGAGTTTTGTTCCGATTCTTGTGAGCAAGTTCCCGGTTCCGGGCAAGCCAGAAATGTAGGGAGCCCTTTGCGCCCTTGCCTCTAGGTTCTACAGAGGGAAGCCCACTATGGTGAAAA